AAAATTAGGCCGGACGCAGTGGCTCATGCCTGTAATCCCAGCACTTTGGGAGGCTGAGGCAGGCGGATCACAGGGTCAGGAGATCGAGACCATCTTGGCTAACCCGGTGAAACTCTGTCTCTACTGAAAATGCAAAAAAAAAAATTAGCCGGGCGTGGTGGCGGGCGCCTGTAGTCCCAGCTACTTGGGAGGCTGAGGCAGGAGAATGGTGTGAACCTGGGAGTTGGAGCTTGCAGTGAGCCAACATCTTTCCACTGCACTCCAGCCTGGGCAACAGAGCAAGACTCCGTCTCAAAAGGAAAAAAAAATGAGTTGAGCGTGGTCACACGTGCCTGTAGTCCCAGCTACTCAGGAGGCTGAGGCAGGAGAATCACTTGAACCCAGGTGGCGGAGGTTGTAGTGAGCCGAGATCGCGCCACTGCACTCCAGCCTGGCAACAGAGCGAGACTCTGTCTCAAAAAAAAAAAAAATTCATTTTCTAAATAGAGACAGGGTCTCGCTATGATGCCCAGGCTGGTCTTGAGCTCCTGGTCTCAAGTGATCCTCCTGCCTTGGTCTCCCAAAGTGCTGGGATTACAGGCATGAGCCATTGCGCCCAGCCAGGGTTCACTGCTTTCTTCTCAGTGACTGCAACAGACAGTGCCTGCACATAGTAGGTGCTCAACAGATGCATGGTGAATGGTGGTTAAACCAAAAGCTTGGATTCCTTCCCGGTCACAGGCACAAGGCTCCACTCCTGGGTTTCATCTGCTTCAAGCTTAGGCAATAGCTCTGCCTCCACAAACCACAAGTCTGCCTGGGTGGCACTCTTCATGCGAGTGGGGGCGCTTCTGCTACAAGTTCCAGGCCCGGGGTGACAGTTCCAGCCCCCAGCTCTCCTCCCCTACCTACGGATGCATAATCTTGTTCCTCAAAATATACCAAGGAACCATGTCTGTCTCCTGAGGGAGTTGTCCTCAAGTCTAGAAGAGAATTCTCACCTGGATCTGAGGTGGAGGTTTGGAACTCTCCATTTCACCCTGCCCTATTGGGACCATCCCCTTTTCTCCCTAGGGGACCTGGACAGACCATCCCTGGCCCCTTCCAATCACAGTCATGTTTCCAGACTCCCAGCTCATTCACGACTCAGGAGTCCTGACTCCTAGCTCAGACCTTCTGGGGCACCCAGGCGTCTGGATCCCTAACCCATTCCCTGCAGGGCTTTGGAAGTCTGAGTCCCCACCCCTTGCAACACACAAACCTCCTCCGTGTAGGACACCAGTGGCCCCGGTCCCCAACCACTGCAGCAAACCCACGGGGGCTCTGGAGTGCAGGCCTCAGGTCCAGCTCTCCAAACACTGAGAAGCCCCAACCTTGGTCCTTAAGGGACCTAGGAATTGGGGGACCCAAGCCCCTCCCCTCAGCTGTGGGGGCAGCTGAGCCAGGGGTCAGGCTGTAGTGGGGAGGCCAGAAGGGGCGGGGACAGCCGGGATTGGGAGGGGAGAACAGCAGCGTGGGCGGCTGGCAGAGGCAGGGAAAGACCAGCAGAGAGGAAAGAGAAACTGGGAGAGGGAGGAAGGGAGAAAGTGAGAAGGGAAATCGGAAAGAGAAAGGGGAGGAAACGGCAGACGTGGAGAGTCAGAGAGAGAGACAGAAAGAGGAAGAGACTGAGTGTGAAGGAGAGAGGACACGGGATGACAGAGAGAGAGAGAGAGAGAGAGCGCGCGCGCGAATGAGATAGAGACTTAAAGAAGAGACCCTGTGAGTCTGTCAATCAAAGATTTGGACAGAAACGGAAAGATTGGAGAGAGAGATAGAGGGAGAGAATGAGTGAGAGAGAAACTGGAAGAGACAGAGATCAGAGAGAGGAGAGACACAGAAAGTGAGACTGGGGAGGGAGATAGTGTAAAACGGAGAGAGAGAGAGAGAGAGAGAGAGAGACCATAAGAGACGGGAGACAGACAAAAAGTGAGCAGGTGAGGAGAGAGATTGAGAACTATGAGAGACAGCAGCTAAGAGACAAAAGAGGCGGGAGACTGCCTGGGTGCTGCTGCAGCACCCACACCATCCTCTTGCCCCCTGTCTTTGGGACCCTAGAGCTGGGTAAGTTCCCTGGCTGGGCTGGGAGGGCCTCTCTGGGTGCACATTCCTGCTGCTGTGGGGCTTGGCTTGGGGAGTTGGCAGGGATGCTTTGGGGGTGCATGTGGGAGGGCGGGAGACAGGTAGCCTGGGGCAGCCGGAAGGAGGCAGGGAATAGGGGGTCCTTAAGCTCAGAGAGGGTCAAATTCCTGGCCTGAGTGCAGTGGGGAGGAATAAAGGATTCCCTATTCTCTGGCCTGGGCTGCAGACAGCTGCCCCCTCCCGCAGCTGCCAGGGCCGCCTACCTCTCTTGGCACCACTCTTGGTATGTGGTCACGGGCCATGGCCTCCCCCAGCCCCTCAGTCCCGAAACAACAGGCTCTTTCTCTGCAGCCTCCTCAGACCTCCAAGCCCCTGACCCCATCTCTGTCCCGCACCCGTCACTGTGGAGACACAGCCCCTTTCTTTCTTTCCCCAGCCCTTGATGGAGGGGAGCCGACCTCGAAGCAGCCTGAGCCTGGCCAGCAGCGCCTCTA